ATTTTTATATTTAAGGACATATTTATTTATAAATACTTATATTGAAGGACAAGATACTGCGAAATTAGAATAGTGGCAAACTTTTTACTAACACAGTTCTTAATTATATGTAACTTCAGGCTGTTAGGCGTGAGACTTTAAAAATCAGAACTTTTCAAATGTCTTCACCAACTAGAAGTAGACAAAGTTGGCAAATAAGTGATGATCACAGTCACAGCGTATGAACTAATTTCAAAAGTGACTGAAGAGTAGGTTTCTCATTTGCAAAACTGTCAATGTGATGTATACCCTGTTGGCAAAACCAGATACAGAAAAAGATCTTCTTAAAAAGTGGTGAAGTTTTATTTCTTCCCCTAATTCTAGTGTCCTAGTTACTTTAGACTTTATATTAGAATTACTTGGTTACGTTAAATTCCACTTTTTGCACTGACTGCTTTTTTTTTTGGTGGTTGTTCTTTAGAAGTTACTCTTTAAACCTTTACCTTTTGTTATAAAGTGGGTTTTTTGGTAAATATGATTGATTGTTCCTAAGGAAAATGTTAATATGTCTTACCTAAAAGCAGAAGGACGAATTAACACTACCAATGTACATAAGGTAGACAGACTTTAAATTTTCTCTGAATTCTCTTCACGTTTTAACTGCTAATAAGCATCTTAACATTTTCATGTCCTTCTTTTCATAGTATCATTTCTGTAGCTTGGCTAGTTGTCTTTTGCTAATTCTGAATGTAATCTATACGTTCGGATTTTGTTTAGTGTTCTTCCTTGAAGCATATGTTTGTGTTTCTAGCTTGACGGTGTGACTGTTAGGCTGCTATTTCTGTTAGAGGTTGTCTTTTCAGATCTAAGTAGATACTTGGGTAACTGGTTTCATAGCAAGGCAATGTGATTGTTATATCCTTTCATCCTCTTAGATTCTGTTTAAGCCTTCTTAGCCAAAAGTGATTGGTGCTGTGAAGTGCCTGATGATTTACTGGTGCGGGTGACTGCTTGTGATGTGCCTGAGATCTCCCCAAGTGTGGCGGCGTATCAAGGCAGGGTGCCCAAACACCACTAAGGATGCTGGAGATCAGTCCTAAATCGGAGCTCAAACGCAAGTGTAAATACCGAGGCATCGGGGAGGCAGGGGAAAGGGAGTTTTATGAATGAGAAATAGTTGTTCAGTGAAGTGTTGGAGAGAACAGCTTGAGGAGCAGACATGTGCATCTGCAGGGAAATGGATCTGCGCTTCAGGTAACAAAGAGAATGGTCACATCTCCTCCTGGATACCAAGAGAAGAAACTCATCTGGGGGAGAAGGATTAAATTTTGCTGGGGGATTTAAAAAGGGAGATTTGGCAGAGTACACCAGCTTTTATAGCCTGAAGAAACCTCCTGTAGGGGGTGCGGCCTGGGGCAAAAGGTGTTCTGAATGGCAGCCTCCGACAGCCATGTGCCAGGGAGGGTTGCGGTAAATCACCTGGTAGAGGACGGGGAATAGCTTTCTGATTCAACCTTAGTACAAGTTATTTTAGCACAGATTTTCCTTTCTTTACCTGCGTCTTTTATGAACGCTAGTAGTTGTACTGTCTGTTTCAGAATCTGTGAATAAATGTGGTGGGTGGTTTTTTTTTTTTTCCCTTGCATTTTACTTTAACTTGCTTTGACTTCAGGTAGCTTCAAGATAACAAGCTTTGCCTGAAGATATGAGAAAACTGTAGTCAGTGTGCTGAGGAAACCTTGGCAAGGGCTGTGATTCCTTTGTGAAGCCTTCAGACTATCCGAAGGGAAGCGGTGCATGTGGCATGGGCCAAACGTGTAGGGTTAGAGGAGTGTTTTGCTAACCAGTGAGAGCCAGGATGGTTCCCCCAGTGCAGCAAGGTCTTAGAGGAGCGTGTCTGAACCCCAAAAGCTCCCAGGTTGTTTGTGACAGTCACTGTGAAAACTGGCTTTCGAAACTCCTTTTTGGAGATAGCTCTGAGTATTCACCTCTAGTGAGGAAAATGTCTGTTGAGGAAAACAGACTTAAAGAAAATTTTCTGAAGACTCCCGTATAGTGGATGACCTTACACCTTTCTCCTAATATCCTGTTATTTTCTGGAAGTGCAAATGCCTATTTAAAGACTTTTAGATTATATTGAATAAAGTTTTTTTTTCACTGGTTCCATAAGCTGTGTATGAAAACCAGATGATGTAAATGGCTTTATTTTCCAAAAACTGTAAGTCCCATTTTAGAATCCAGTATACCTCATATCGCTAACCCAAATTAATGCATATTTCCTTTATGAAAGACCAAAGCAAAACACTCTTAACAGTTCCAGACAGACCATACTATGCTTATAAAGCAAACTGTGAGAACAGTGAGAAAATAAAACTTCAGTAGGGAAAGGCTTTTCATCGGCATATCTGCAAATACTTGACACTGGCTTCTTGTCTTGATTTATACAAGACAGACTCAGAGATGTAGAGCAATATCAAAGACAAAAAAATCCATCTTCCTGCTAAAATGTAGGACCTCAGGCACGAGAGCGTGTGAAACAGCGTGACTAGTTTTCATTAGTGTGCCTTCAGTTGGATGCTAATGAGTGACAAAATTTGCAAGATTAAATTATATCCAAAATGTGGACCTTTGCAACAATTCGATTAGTTTTTTGTTTTTGGTTTTTTTTTTGTGAACCCACCAAACATAACATTGGTAACTTGAAGGAAACTTGGAAAAAAGGTTCATCAGTTGCAATTGGGACTCAGACTTCGGTTGCTTTCGCAATTTGGTTGTAATAAAGAAATTTTCCTGTGTTTGAATATTTAAACTTTCTGCTCGTTATTACACACTGGGTACAGATTTGGCTCAAAGTCCACTTGAGGTTGTGCAAAGTTTATGAATTAATTGTTATAATTTAGGTGGCCACAACTTTTTTAAAATATTATCTGGCATGAATTCCAGGTTTCCGCTATGTTTATAGGAAGAGGAGAAGACTTTAAGCCGCTCCCCGGCAATGGAAGCGTGATCTAAAAAAGGGAAAGCCAACTGAGCATACCGCAACTTGCCTTTTGTGGTGTCTTTGTTATTAGTATAGCCAAAGACCATAAACCTGTTTTCTCCAGCATGTAATTCTCAAGATGGAAACATTAATTCTCTATTTCCTTCATTTCTGCAGCTTGTTATCACTTAGTTGAAGATCCATCATGTCTTTAGTTCAAGAAAGTCAAAACCAAACTTTTAGACAGTGATTGCATCTATAACAGGAAATAAACTTATTTTTTGTGATGATAGAAAGCACAAATTAACATGAGATGGTTATTCTAAATGTATATGTGGTTTAGAGATTAATATTATTAATTTCCTTGAAGAAATTAATTAAAAGAGGTTCATTATTTTAGGAAGTTCCAATAGTAACATCTATTCAAGTGTAATTATTATGTGAATTACCTTAAAGTGAACTTTTCACAACTCTAATGATAAGTTTTCCTCTAAAAAGCTGCTTCATTGACTCGAGTAAGGGTGTTTGTAGAAATGGCAGATGTGATTTGTCCTGAAGCCTTTTATCAAGCTGTTCAAAATTCTACAATTAGACATAAACATCTATTTTGTATTCTGTATGAGTACTGCCTACAATTAAAAAAAAACCCAACAAACAACCCTGTATGAAAAAACCCATTACATCTCTTAATCTCTCACATTCTTCCTCCTTTTCCCTTTTTTTTTTTGTTTTGTTTTGTTTTAAATTAAATGAGGGAAGGACAGCTTTACAGCATAAAGATGGGCCAAAGAGAGTGCGTTTGGGGGTGGATGAGATGAGGCAGTGTGGTATGAAGTCAGAAGCCCGTTGGACACTGGATCCAAAGTATCAGAAAATGTTTGGCTTGCTGCTTTCCTTGAGGTTGCCATAGTTTAAGTGACTTTGCTGATCTCAGCTGTGGTTGTATGCTGTTGGGAAAAAAACCTGCCTGGAATTACTTAGTCTGAGTTCTTTCAAGTACCAGGCTGGGTACGAACCCATAAATATGTTTCTTTTTGTCATGGTTTACTTGTTTTCTGTTGTTCTAACTTTGTCTCCAATTTTCCTTAGAAGTGCCAAAAAGGCCTCTTTCTTCTGTCTGAAATGATGCTGATGAGACTTTTAGGTTTTAAAACTATGGCAGCAAGTGGAAATATTTTGAGAAAGGTGTAGCTAAGTGCAGTGTGATAAAATTGAGGAGGGAAAAAAAAAACCCAAAACCAACACGGTAGGGATTGCTTACAGCAAAACTCTTGGTTCATTTCAGAGAACTGGTTGGTTTGTTTGAAAAAGCTCTAAAACTAGAACGTATTCATTCTTACTACAAAATATCATTGACCTATTAGTTTCCATAGAAGGACTTTAAACTCAGCCTCTGGGACCCTCCACCCCCTCGGTCTTTTTGAAGTTCTTCGCAAAATTGCCTCCATTACCCCCCCCCCCC